CAAAATGCAAAAATCAAGTGGAAATTTTGATTTAATAATATAAATAAACACATTTTTGGAAGTACAATAAAGCAATTGTTGTTTTTGAAATCTCACAAAGATGCTGAGAAAAGTGAGCCACTTTTTTGACACATTATTTAGTCTACTGAGGTTTATGGAAATAAGTTTAAGCAGAACCCTCTTAAGGTCTTGCCTCTGCATTTTATTTGAATCATAACTATGTTGATTCAAATGTACATTAGAAAGCTCAGCAGCTCTTTCGTGTTTTTTTTAAAGAGAAGAGATTTTCCTTGTKGAAATCAATCCAAACAACTAGTTCAGGCTTTTAAATTTGTGCATTCATAACCCTAATTAAATTACACGTGCTGAGACAAGAAGAGTCTGAGATGAAGCTCTTATTTTATTTTGCAATTTCTAAGAACATTGCATGATTTAAGTTTAAACTGAACTTGATGGGATATATAGCCCTAGGAACACTGCTGACTGTTTTAAATGGTTTTTACTTGTTAATTATCTTCTATAATTTTAAATCATGAACTCCATATTGTGAAACAGTGGGTTTTTACTTTTCTTTCACAAACTGCTTCTGAAGCTTGACTTAGTTTATGCAAAATCAACATTGTCACAGTGTAATGTCATGTGTTTTAGTTTTTCTACGTGAATACTATTAAAAACCTAAGAACTAATGAGGGAGAAAATATACTTTGTGTAAATATTAGGGCTGCAACTCACCATTATTTTAATAATCGATTAATCTGTCGAATATTCTGTCGATTAATCGGCCAAATCATTAAAAGACTTAATTACATAAATGTAAGTAGATATAAATTAATTTAATTCCTGTATGAATTAGGGATGCAAGTTATCGATTAATGTGAAGTTGTCTGAAGTTGATTTATCTTATAGATTGACTAACAAGTAATTGATTAGCAGCCATTTTCTTAAAAACCAGAGTTTTCTTTAGAATCAAGAGGGTCTTTTCATAAAATGATGGATTTTTTAATGATATGCAAATTTTAAAAAAAACAAGCACATCATAAATATTTTCACAATTRATTTTGCCAGCCATATTAAGCACTGACTGGAAAAAACAAACAAAAAATGTGGATTTCTCATACATTAGTAAACTTGTAGCCTGGTAAAAACTAGGAATGCGCGATATAAACGATATACGGTAGAAATGATATAAATTTGTCCTATGATAGAGATCTGTAGTGTTTTTTTTGTTTGTTTTTTCCGTCGTCATGAACCTTTTTGCTGCTTATCAAATAACCATGAACATTGGTCAGAAAAAAAGACTGGACGGTTTTATATTTCTGGCCTGAGAGGAGGAAACAAATAATGGACTGAGGGTTTTTGTTGTTTTTTTTTCTTTTCCCACGGGACGTGTTTCCTCCTCGCAATGCGGCTTGCATCAAATCAGACAAGTCGTTTAAAAAAATAAAACATGGAATAAACTTTTTAGCATAACTTCAGTTCTACTTAGCCTAACAACACAATTTAAAAAACTGGTTTAAAGTTCAAAGTCTCTACTTTTCACACGAGGGTCTCAGAGAGGGCGGATCTTTACAGGTAGTTTTTGTTTTCCTAAACTTTTAGGCCAGCCAGCATTGACAACGCTCTGCAGGTGATGTAAACGGCTCCGTGACATGGCGAGGGACGCATAAATCGCGCGACACAACGAATCGATAATGAAATCTGTTGCCAACGCTTTTAATAATCGATTTTTATCAATTTTTATAGATTCGTTGTTGCAGCCCTAGTAAATATTATCCGACATTTGAAACCTTATAATCAAAAAAAATTCTGATGACAGTAAACTGGTGTCATAAATCTAAAGTTGCAAAAAGTTCCAGTACGGTTTCTTTTCTTTATAAAAAATGTCTTCATTCGCWATTTGTTTTGTCTCTAACTGAAACAAATTAATGAACTTAAAACAACAGGGTAAGGAGGATTGAAGAAAACCAATTGGAAAGTTAGAGAGAGGCACAACATCGATTGTTAGCCATCCCAAAGTATTACAGAAATTATTCTAGTTAAGCAATGTATTGTGTTTTTGCCTAAAACTGCATAAAAATTATACATTTGTTGAAATATTTATTAAGTTTAAAAGTGCTTTAAACTCAAAAAGTCAAAAACAGCACTCAGAAATGCTTATTAATGCTCCAAGTTGCAGACAAGTGAGTTGACTAAGCCACTAACATGAGCAGGAAATGGACTGAGTAGAACTTAATATAAACTATTTACCAAAAAGCTTGAGTGCAATCATTTGAAGGCGAGCATCATCCAGACCACGTTTAGTGGCTGAGAGAAACTGCCAGCTCAGCATCTCACCAAACTGTGGCCAAGGCGCTGCAGGAACGTTAGCAAAAAACACGATGTCCTGTGAAAGACACTAAGATTTACAAAAATGTCTCTTTTTTTATGTCCTACAGAGTAATTTCACTGCATWATGTTTTGCAGTGTGGACTAAAAGAGGGCAAACTCTGACCTTGGGATCCTGGCTGAGCATGTTGAACCAGAGGATAGACGCCCACGCACTCTGCTGCTGGCTCGAGTTGGAGATAATGACCACAGGAAGGGAGGAGGCCTACACTCAAATTAATCAAGAGAGACAGGTGGTTTATTACCTGTTGATTTATTTCTGTATTTTTTTTCTTGTATCTGGTGCACACAATAAAGAAAACCTCACCTGCAACTCTACTGAGAAACCTTTTAGCTCAAATACGGTGTTGAAGCAGATGATGTGCAGCTCTTCTGTTACACTCAGAGAAATCTGTCAACCACAAGCACCCACATTCAGATTTATGATTTCTGACATGTTACCACTTTTGTTGCATGGTAAATAAATTAATACAACTTCAAACAGAGATAGTTTTAACTCACATCACTGATTCCTTTACCACCTCCTCCTGATTTCTGCTCCTTCAAAGTCTAAAGAAAACAGCACAAAGAATGACTCAAGCATCCCTCAGATTAAACTGAAAGACTTTAAAAAGAAGTAGATTTTGTTTGGAGTACACTGCTTTAGACATATACTCAACATGCTCTTGAATATGTTCCTAAAAGAACTGTAAATTGTTATCGCTCACCAGATGTCTGAAGTCTGCCACCATGCCTCCACTGTGGCTCTCAGTCATGTTCAGAGCTTTGGTTTTGGTTCCCAGGATGTTAAAACGTCGATATCTACAAATGTACCAGTTTTAGTGAAAAGAACTTGACATCAAATGTAACAAATTAAATAAATACTTATAAAAGAACACTAAAACTTTTTCAGAAATATTGTAAAAATTGGAAGCTTAATAAAAAAATTAAGACAGCTTACCCTTTGATACTTGGAGCCTCCCTAATTTCAAGGTTGGAAAAAGTGGCAGCACCCAAAAGAGGAGGAAACAAAATATCCATGGTGATACAAAGTTAGGAACTGCAAGCTGACAGTTCATGTTGAGTTGTAAAGGAAAATCTCACCTGCTCATGGATACATCCACTTTCATGGAGTGGTTCAGTTCAGGAAACTTTACCAGAAGTCTGCAAAATAAAGTTCAGTAACGGTGAAATGTAGAAAATACAGAAAATTAAGGACAACATAGTCATGAAAAAAGAAGTAAACCAAAAGCTACAACTCATGAGAAATTAATAATACAATAAATATTCCATATTCATTGAATTATCCATAAAATATTCACAAACTGCTTTAATTTTTATGTCTAAACTATCATACATTAAAACCCAAGTAAAAAAAAGCTTGGGCTTTAAAACAAAACTTACACTAACTAAACTAAACACTGACCTGGTCTTGACAGAGAACTGGACATTTGTGCGCAGAACTAGAGGTCCTTTCCCTTGAGGCATGGACGGCTGAGTTTCAACCACGAAGGAACTTTAATTACCAGAAAAGCAATAATGTTAGTGTATTTAAAAAAAAAATACAATAACGTTGGAAAATGTCACCTAAAGGAACAGACCTCTTGAGTAAGCTTTCAAGAAGAGTGTCTGCTCTTTTCTTCAGTGCAGGTTTCTGGGCCTTCACGGGATCATTGTCGTAGGACATCTTCCCTACAAGCTCCTCTAGTTTATTCAGAAACTCACACACCTGGAATAGACACACTGTCACGCAGGTGAACCTAGAAACAAGAAAAAGATGTTACAAACTGCAAAAAGAAATTGTGGGAAAAATCAAATATTCTGGTGATCCTTTCAAAGTTTGTCCCTGACRCGATAAATGTACGAAAGATCCAAACGGAGCTGAAGAAAGAAAAGACTGGCGTACCACTTCTCCAGCTGATYCAAGCAAACATCGTCCGGAGCACCGATGCAGGCTTTCTGTTGCCTCCGCTGCCAGTCCACCAGCTCTTTGTTCACCAGCAGGTTGATCAGATCTTCAGCCCGATCCAGAAGCTTTTTTATGTCTGACAAGGTGCTCTGAGAGGTGAATATAAGAAACAGGATTTTAAAAAAACAAAACATACTGTTAACAGTCATCTAAGGGTTAAAAATGTATTATCACAGTCCAGTAAAAGATTCAGACCTTTCTACACTCATTCAAATTGTTGACAAGCATCTGAAGAACTTGAAGCTGCTTCTTCTTCAATGCCTCGTCTACAACAGCTGCAGGACAGTTTCCACAGTAGGATGAAAGTTTCCACATAAGACAGAAAAAAAAAATCATTAAGCTGTGATTCACACCATTATATTACTCAGTATCAGAGAATGAAATTATGATTACAACTATAAAATGTCCCGACCTTCCATTTTGTGGGTTTGATACTTAAAATCAAACTCATCTTGCTGCTCTTCCAAACAAATTATAGTATGTTCCAAACACTGGATCCCAGTGGTCAAAGATAAAGGGGAAAAAAACAACAATTATTGTACTGTACGTGTTATCAATAAAACACAAAATAACATTATCTTGTACCTGCACATCATTCCTTAGGCCAGCCATTTTACGTTCAAGATCCTGCTGACAGCTCGTCTCCATGGCTTCCTGCTCAACATTCAAAAGCTGCACCTAAAACGAAGGAAAAAGTGTGGGCTGAACAGATACACTAACGTTTTTCTTCATTCACATGTGACACGGGGGTAATATTGTTGCTGAAAGAGGAAATAAGTGTGAATCACAGTGGAAGTTAAAACAGCATTTAGGCATGCTGGATTATCATGACCTTTTAGCGCTCACACTCACTTCTAAACATAAACGGAACAAATGGAAGCAAGTAACTACTAAGAAAACACATTTAAAACACTACAGATGCATGGAGCATTAGAAACAAGAAGTAGAAACACACCAAACATGAACCATGCCTGATTATTTTTATTTACTGTTTTTTTATAACTCTGGCAGCTGGGTGTGTTGCATTTATTATTTATTTACACTGGTGTAAGGGAAGACCTGTTGCACCAACCTGTTGATCCAGTTCAGCTCTGTCCAAGATTTCCTTCTCTTTCTCCAAGAACCACAGGATTGTCCCTGCCAAATCGCACGGCTCATCTTGATACCTCTGATCAGACAATGAGGGATCAGTGGAGATCAGAATGAATAGAGAGTATTACATAACTGTTGCAACAACAACTGTGATGTTTCAATGTATTTTTTTACTGAAATAAGATGCTAATATAAGGGTTGTGTATTTAATGTGGAACAAAGACATCATTCAGCTGTGTTATGGTTTTACAAACCTGGAAGTTCTGTTTATAACGCCTGATATTGTGCTGTTGTAAAAACAACTCCTCCTGAACAAAGCGACTGTGTTGGATATCCAAATTCTCCAGCAGGACCTGAAACAGCACCATAGCCAAGTCGTAGTCCCGAGCTGCTCGCTTCCTAAAGAACAAAACCAGAACACGGATTAGAACATTTAAAGTACAGACCCATGTGGGGCTTTGCACAAGAAACGGTGATGTCTCTTACCACTCCTGCTTTTCTATCCACGCAGAAAGGTAATGCCGAACATCCATAGGCAAACCATCTCTGTCATAAAGCTCATGCAGCTGCTGTTGGTAACCAACAGGCATCTGCCTCAGTTTGTCCCACTGTGCCATCCTGCAATGGACCAACATGCACAGAAACACATGTTAAAGCTGCCAGTAATTAATTTCCATGTGGACTAAAATGTGTTGTGTAATCACAAAAGAAGGAACAAAAGTGCGAAGTCTGAAATAAGTCCTGTGTCTGTCACTGCAGACTAGCTTATATGTCAGCTGTTTGCTGCTAGTCACTGTGGCTACTACTAGCAAACAGCTGAAAATACAACTGTTTGCAGCTTAACTACAATAAAAATTAATCAACAAGAAAAACAAACGCTTGCTTACCTTACTTAAAATATACCGTAGCAAAATCTTGGCGGCTAACAGCTAAGCTAAGTGCATTGCTTGCTTCTGTTTCAGACTAACTAAAAGGTCACAGATGTTTAATGTTGCTACGACAAAACAAGTGCCCGGAGTACACAGGCGTGTGAATGTTATTTCCTCTATCATTTCGTCTCTCGACGTCTTTTATTGGATAGCTCTTTCTCCCTCCTAAATAGTTGTTGACGGATAACTATCGGCGCCATATTGGCTCTGATGCTAACAGAAGTCATGCTGCCACAGAGCCGAAATGTCTCTTTCYGTAAGAGCAGTTTCCTCGTGGTGCTCGATGCTGAAAGCTGATTGGCTGAATTGTCACAAATACTCATACTCAATTGGTTCACTTGTGGGTCATTCTCTAAGTTAGGGGCGTGGCGAGCGAAATAGAAACTTACGGAGCAGATTGTTARAGAGAAAAATTTCCAAGAAATGACGTTCAGAAAGTGACGAACCGAATGGCAGGGAGCACGTGACTCTCTAAAAACCACCACACAGGCGTGTCTTCTGTGATAACAAGTACTTTATTCAAGTATCCATTGCTCCCTTTCTTCTGTCTTACATTTCTACTTTGCACACTGGAGTAGCCTTAAGGWTGAAAAACAGGTGACTTAAACTTTTTCACGGTATTTACATGGTGGTGCATGCGTTAATGACGTATGACGTATGTGTTCAGTCAGGGACCTTTGTGGGTAGAGTCTGCATGTTTGTACATGTGTGGGTTTTCCCCTGGTGCTCC